CAGCCCGGGGCTTGCAGACGGGGAATCCCGGCGGTGCGCGGCCGTTTGGGCAGCAGAAACACCGTGAAGGTCACCGCAGCTGCTCTGCCCTTGTCGCCAGCCAGTCCCAACCTTATCTGTCGTGCTCGTTCATTTCCTGGCCGCTCGTTCGGGAACCCGCCTTGCAATTCGGGTATCACCTTTCTTGCTTGTATCCTGCTGGCGAACACGCAGCGTGTGCTGCCCTGGTTTCTAGATAATGAGATGCCATGATCACAGTTTTTAGAGTGGCGAGAGCCTTAGAACCGGTGTGCCAACGCATCCCTTTCTTTTTATACACGAAACTGAGGTTCCCCAAGAGATCCGTCACTTCGTCTCTTTCTGTTTCATCTGTACCTCCAATATGACCATAGCATAACTAACTAGGCTGCTCAGTGCCTAGGGGCTCTGTATCGGGTACTTTACTTACAATTCTTGTTTCTTTTCATCTCCGTAACAACTCTGCGTGCAGGTATTATGATGATCCATTTCATAGGTTAAAAAAATAAAGGAAGGTAAAGTGGCTTGTCCACTGTTATATAACTAGATAGTGTGAAGACACTAACTTGTCATAAAGCTCAAGTAATTTATACAGTGTCCTTGCGCAAAGATGGATTGATAGACGGGTGCAATAGAATGAAGAGCCTGGAAACAGACTCGTGCATATATGTAAACTTGATCTGTAGCAGAAAAAACAACATTACAAATCAGTAGGGAAAGGAAGAAGATTCTGTAAACAGTGCTGGGATATTGGTTATCCATATTTTTTTAAAACTCAGGGATTACTACTTCCTACATACCACACAGAAAAATCTATTTCAGGCAGCTCAAATGCCTAACTGTGAAAGAGAAAACTTTAAAACTTGTCAGTAGAGAAGAACTTTTTAAACATGATACAAATAAGAAAGGAAAGATTGGTAAATTTTTACTACATTAAAATTTAACCTTTTGGCCCAGCCCACATGGCTCAATGGTTGAGAGTCATCCCATGAACCAGGAGGTCACTTGGAATCTTGGTCAGAGCACATGCCCAGGTTGCGGGCACGATCTCCAGTAGGGGGCGTGCAGGAGGCAGCCCATCCATCATTGACGTCTCTCTCTCTCTCTCCCCCCTCTCTCCCTTCTGCTCTCTGAAATCAATAAAAACATATTTTTTAAAAACAATTAAGCTTTTATACAAGATGCCATTAGTGAAGATAAAGCACAAGTTATAACTGACAGTTTTTAAATGTAAAATATACAAATAATTTCTACAACTCAATAAGAGGTGGCAAATACGTATTTCACACATTGCTGGTGGCCTGAGTATCACCTGGTAAAACCACATTCAGGAACAGTCTGGCAAATTTAGTAGGTTGAAGTGGGTTGTATTGTTAGATGTTGAGTAGATCCCGGAAATTCAGCGGCTTGAACTCAAGGAGTTTATTTCTCTCATGCAAGAAGTTTATTTCTAGGTAAGTATACCAGATCAGCAGTGCAGTTCTGCTTCTTGCAGTTCGTCAGAGACCCAGGGTGACGGTGGCTCTGTCAGGTTCAACATTTCACTTCCAGAGTTGCTACTCTCATTGCTACCAGCAGTCATCCAGGTGGAAGGAAGTTAAAAGAGAGTGTGAAGGTGGTATATTAGCTGGTCTTCAGGCACCAGCCAGAAAGCCCCATACATAATTTCTAATCACATTCTATTGGTGACATTTAGGCATATAGTCACATCTAACAGAAGAAAAATGGGAAATGCAATGCTCAGCGGGGCAGCTCTGAGCCATCTACAACTCTGTTACAAAGTAAGAAGAGAAGAGGAGATTTTGGTAGAAGCTAATGGTTTTTTATGCCTACCCTTGAACCCAGCAATTCCACTTCTGTATATATGCTCTAGACTAGCCTTTATCAGCAGGGGCTTCTGCAAGTGACTTGAGCCCTACACAAAATTATTTGAGTAACTATTTTCTTAATTTTCCCAAGGATAACACATACCTAGAAACATTCTAGGTGCCCAGGGGAGAGGTGAATTCACTACACACAGTGAATACCTTAGGACATTAGGGCTTAATGCCATTAGCTGAGAAAAGATGACCCAAAGGATCTCCCACACATCTGCACAAGGAGATATATTAATTATGCATGGTCTGTAATAGCAAAAAGAATTGAAATTCCACTAATAAAAGAACAGATAACTAGTTATGGTATTTGTAAAATGGGACATTACATAGCAGTTAAAGAATGAGCACTCTTGTGTATCAATATGTATAAATCTCAAAAGCAATGTTGAGTAAAAATAAGTCACAAAAAGATTCAAATTGTATGACTCCATTTGGATTAATTTTGTAAACATGTAAAAATATGATATTTTGTTTAAGGATACACACCTGTATTGGGCATGATAAACAACAATTTCAAAGTGTAGTTACCTCCGCTGTTGGAGGGAGGAGCCTAAGATCAGAGAGGGACACACAAGGGGCTTCACCTGTTTCTATAATATTTTATTTCTTTTAAAAATGACTTATAAATGTTAAAATTTACCAAAGCTTGGAGGTAGGTACATGGGTGCTTCTTGTATCATTTGCTTTGCTTTTGGTAGCCTTTAAGTATTGCATAATTTAGAAGTTTTAATATCGAAAAAGAAGAAAGGACCACCAACAGGCCACACAGGCATGAAAACCCACAACACACAGGAAGCCGAAGGGCAACAAACCAGGGCACCAGAGGGACGGGCCACTGAGTCTGCAAACATGAAGCAGAAAACTTCCAAAAGAAACAGAGGGGCAGACCTTCATCCCAGCCCAGCAGGAACATCATGGGCTGCAGAATTTCACACAGATAGAAGGCCATGAGCCCATCACCCAGTGGAAAGGAACCTTTCTGGATAAGATACCTATAAATCCCTCTCTTTATCTGGTGAAATATGATGAAATTGACTGTGTCTATGGACTGGAACTTCACAGAAATGAAAGAATTTTGTCTCTTAAAATTCCTTCTGACAGGGTGGCATCATCTCAAGTCAGCGATAAAAACTTTGCAAATACCATAAATGGTAAAGCTGTGGAACACATGTTTGAGGATGAGCATGGTTCTAAGGATGAATTGAGAGGGATGATCTTAGCCCAGGCACCAGTAATGGAAGCCTGGTTATATGTTACCATTGAGAAAGATCCTGTCTTGTATATGTATCAGCTTTCAGATGATTATAAAGAAGGGGGCCTCTGTATCATACCAGAGTCCAGTGAGTCTCCTCCAGCAGAGAGGGAACCAGGAGGAGCTGTAGTTGGCCTGATAGGTAAACATGTGGAATATACCAACGAAGATGGCTCCAAACATATCGGCATAGTCATTCACCAAGTGGAAGTCAAACTCTCTGTGTATTTTGTCAAGTTTGATGATGATTTCCATATCTATGTCTATAATTGGTGAAAAAGCCCTAACTGTTAGGGAACAATTTCCCACATTTGTGAAAACAAATGTATACTTTGTTGTTTTGTTTTTTATATATCTTTATTGATCTCACAGAGAGGAAAGGAGAAGGAGAGAGAGAGAGAGAAACATCAATGATGAGAGAGTCATTGACTGGCTGCCTCCTGCACGCCCCCGACTGGGGATCGAGCCTGCAACCCAGGCATGTGCCCTGACCGGGAATCGAACCCCAATTGCCTGGATCCTAGGTCAACGCTCAACCACTGAGCCACGCCCGGTAGGGCTGCGTACTTTGTAGACATGAAAAATAATGTTTTTCAGTGTATTGGGAGCCTAAGGGTCCCCTTAATTCAGCATCCTTGCCAGCATAATTGTTGTTTTGTTCTGAAAAATACAAATGTATGTGAACATGACATGCTGTAAGGACTTTATCATGTTGAGCAGATTGGGTGTGTTTCGTGGATGGAGCATGAAAGGAAGAGACAGCTATAAATTCAGTCTGTGAGTAAAGTCCAGCTAGTATCATTTTAAAAAGTTTTAATATCATAGGAACAAACATTTCTCCTCTCAATGGAGATACGTGCAAATTTAACAGAATCTTGCAGATAG